GGGGTTTCACCATGTTGACCAGGATGGTCTCGATCTCTTGACCTCGTGATCCACCCGCCTCGGCCTCCCAAAGTGCTGGGATTACAGGCTTGAGCCACCGCGCCCGGCCCTCTTTTTTTTATTTTTTTTTTGACAGTCTTTTCTCTGTCGCCCAGGCTGGAGTGCAATGGCATGTTCTTGGCTCACTGCAATCTCTGCCTCTCAGGTTCAAGCAATTCTCCTGCCTCAGCCTCCCAAGTAGCTGAAGTAGCTGGGATTACAGGTGCCCATCACCATGCCTGGCTAATTTTTTGTATTTTTAGTAGAGATGGGTTTTCACCATGTTAGCTAGGCTGGTCTTCAACTCCTGACCTCAGGTGATTCACCCGCCTTGGCCTCCCAAGGTGTTGGGATTACAGGCATGAGCCACCACGCCCAGCCACTAATATGCTTTTAGAGCACAGCTTCTTTGGTTTTATCGATTTAACAGCTTGAGTTTGACCCCTAGAACATATGCAAACATGGTTTTGCTTTTATGCCTTTTGAATATATTTGGTAAGGCCTAGGACAGCCCCTTGTAGTGTAGAATCTGGTTATGCTACAGTAATTTTAAGGGGAATGTCTTCTGTCTTGCCACCAGGTAAAATACCTTTCCTTAATACAGAATGGCTGTTTCATTTCCTGTAACTGCATCTGACTGAACTTTTACAGGGGCAGTAGTAAGCTGTGTAAAATAGAGACATTATCGACTGAGAATCTATGTGGTTTGATCTACACTGTGTTTGTCTTGAGGGAGGGGACCCTTTAGGCTTCATCATTGCAAGAAAAAAAACACGTGTTGTCTTGCTCAAAGTGCTTGTGCTCTGGCCCAAACCCAGATTCTTGGAGGTGGTAGAAGGGCTCATTTACCTTTGTTTAAATAGTTTTGCTGGGAGGTGGAGGGCAGTTGGCTTGAGTGAATGTATCACTTCTTAAGGCATTCTTTTGTGTTTCTTGCTTTCAGATGGAAAGAACTCAAGTGGATCCAAGCGTTATAATCGCAAACGTGAACCTTCCTACCCCAAAAATGAAAGTTTTAGCAACCAGTCCCGTCGCTCCAGTTCACAGAAAAGCAAGACTTTTAACAAGATGCCTCCTCAAAGGGGCGGCGGCAGCACCAAACTCTTTAGCTCTTCTTTTAATGGTGGAAGACGAGATGAGGTATGGAATTGGAAAATGTCCTTTCTAGAACATAAACATGAGATTTGATCCCACTCCTGCCCCTCAGTTTATCAGTAGTTGAGGGGAACAAGAGGTGGAAGAATAGATAGAGGAGTCTTGAGTAGCTGAGACGGTTAACTAGATTTGAAACCTTGCCTCCTTTTTTCCCCTGAAGATTATGAAACTTTCCTTGGAGGAAGAAAAATTTTCTTTTTTTTCTTTTTTTTTTTTTTTTTTTTTTTTTTTTTTTGAGACGGAGTCTCGCTCTTGTTACCCAGGCTGGAGTGCAATGGCGCAATCTCGGCTCACCGCAACCTCCGCCTCCTGGGTTCAGGCAGTTCTCCTGCCTCAGCCTCCTGAGTAGCTGGGATTACAGGCACTTGCCACCATGCCCAGCTAATTTTTTGTATTTTTAGTAGAGACGGGGTTTCACCATGTTGACCAGGATGGTCTCGATCTCTTGACCTCGTGATCCACCTGCCTCGGCCTCCCAAAGTGCTGGGATTACAGGCTTGAGCCACCGCGCCTGGCCGGAAAGTTTTCTTTATGGCAAATTTGGGGTTCCTTAATTTGTATGTTCCTTTCATTATCACTCTTGAATTATAGATACCTTTTGGAATATTAAGGTAATAAAATGATATTAATGTCATTTGCCTTTGTAATCATCTAGCAAAGTGTAAAATGCCTATATCCATAGTCTCAATTTTTTTTTTTTAGGAGTTTCTTAGCTATGCTTCTGTAAGTGCAAGGGTGTTCACTGCTGGGTTTGTAGTTGCAAAATTTGGGAAATAACCTAAATGCTTATCAACAAGAGACTGGCAGAGTATGTTGCATAATATGTAATTATTATAGAATAAGACAGATTAAACAAATGTAGACCAAGGGAAGTAAAGGGATAGAGAAACAAGACAGTTTTGAGGCAAAGCAAGTAGGCTACCATGTGTGGAGGAAGAGAGGCAGGAAATGTACCTAAAGACTAGGAAAGGGATCAGATCAGGTGGTGCTTTGAAGGAGTTTGACTTTTGTTCAGAGAGATGGGAAGCCATTGAAAGGTTTAATGAGAAAAGTAAGGTAATCTGATTTGGAGTTTTAAGGGGAAGAGTGGAAGCAGGAAGACTAGTAAAGAGGCTACAAAGATATTTTTGGTGAGAGGATGGAAGCTTTGAAAGAGGGTGAGTGATGGAGGTGGTGAGAAATGTTAAGATTTGAGACATTACTTGCAGGTAGAGCCAAGACTTTTTGTTAGATGTGGGGTCTGAGCAGAGAAAAGGATGAGTAATGTTTTTGGCATAAGCCCAATTCAGGTGCCTTTTGCTGGAATGGAGAACATTCTTTCCAGAAGAGCACAAAGTTTTTTTGGGAGAGGGGATAGGGTTGAGATAAAGAACTTCAGTTTGGAAATATTATATGTACACTGAAATTCCTATTTGATAAATATAAGCAGAATATAAATAGAGGTTTGTAGTTCACTACGAATCAGCAGTCAAGGAAGAGACTGAGGTTAGAGAGCTTTCAGCATACAGTTGGTGCTTAAAGCTGTGGAACTAAGTGAGGTAGATTAAGGAGTGAGTGTTGCAAAAATGGATTAGGTTCAAGAACCGAATAAGTTCTTGAGTCTGGATAAGAGACTAGCAAAAGAGAGCATGGTCAGGGCGGAAGGAAGAGAGCTGAAAGGCATTGCAGGATGTCGTCAGTTTTGTCAAGTGCTGCTGATAGGCTGAGTATGAATAGGACTGAAAATTGACCATTCGATTTGAAAATGTGAAGGTAGTTGTTTGGCCTTGAGTTGCTTTGGTGGAGTGTTGAAGACAAAAACCTGGCATCTAGATTGGAGAGCATGAGAGGGTAGGAAGAAGAAACAGCAAGTATAGACAGTACTTTTTAGTGGTTTTGCTTAAAAGGGAGAGGGATATGAGGCAGTGCTTGAAGGGAATGTGAGCTTGAGGGTTGTTTTTTTTTTTTTTTTTTTTAACCCAATGTAAATGGTTCT